AATCTTTTATTTTTTGATGGTTTTTCTGTCTGTATTTTTGAATTTCATAAGAGCTACCTTTCTACATAGTGTTTTGTATTATTGCCAATATTTATTTATTTTTTAAATTTTTGTTACAAAACTGGAAGAATAGTTTAAAGAACTCCCACGTACCCTTAGTAGATTTTAAAGAAATAGTGCCATGTCTGACATATTTTATCTATGTGGGGCTTTTTTGGTGGGGGGGCACTTATAGACAAGGTCTCACAATGCAGTTCGGGCTGGCCTTGAGCTCACTTTGTAGCCTAGGCTGATACTGAACTCCCAGTGATCCTCAGCTTCCTGAATGCTGGGATTACAGGCGTGAACCACCATTCCTGGCTTATATATTTGGTTTTGTCTATATGTACATATTCCACTTATATACACATATGTTATTCTGAACTATTTGGGAATAAGTTAAATGCATTATACCTTTTAATCCTTAATACTTAAGTGTAAATTTCTAGGAACAAGGATGGATATTCCTTTATTTTGTTTTTTGCAGTACTGGGGATGGGAACTCAGGGATGCTGTACCACAGAGCTACATCTTTAACCTTTTTGTATTTTTATTTTGAGATGTTTTAATGTATTTATCATGTTGCTTAGGCTGGCCTTAAATTTATGATCCTTTTGTTTCCCCCTCCAAAGTAGGTGGTATTATAACCATGTACCAGCAATGCCTGGCAAGGATTTTTTTATAAATACAATTAGCTATCAAGTTCAGTAAATTCAGAGTTGCTATAGTTTTCACTACAGTTCATATTTCAATCTCTTTTTATATTTCTTTGCATTATTTTTATATTTTTCCAATAATGTAGAATACTCTAGTGTTCTATTTTAGCATGTTTTCTACCCCCAATATGGAAAGAATCACTGTACTTAGTTGTATTTCCTTTTTCTTCCCCTCCCCTTTCCTTTGTGCTAGAGTTTGAACTCAGGCCCCTGAGCAGGGTATATATCCTTGTCATTTCCAGCCCTTTTTCATTTTAGTTTGAGGCCAGATCTGCCTGTGTTGCACAGACTGACTAGATCATCCTATCTCAGGCTCCCACATAGTTGAGATTACCAACTTGACTTAATTGACATTTTTAAAGTTTCCTTTAGTCTTTTTTTTTTTTTTTAATGTATTTAGTACAGGGCCTGCAGGGTCTCACTACACAGATAGGATTCATGGTGCTGGGATTACAGGTGAGTGCCATCACACCCAGTTTCAGTTGCCATCTCAGTGCTCTCCTGGTGTGGTGCTCTGCCTGAGCAGGTGCTTTAGTCCACTGAGCTATCTGGCTGGCCCCCCTTTTTAGTCTTGAACAGTCTGGAACCTTTCTTTGTCTTCTATAATATTGACAAAGAAATACAGATTATTTATATAAAATATTCAGCAAATGCAAGGGCCTGAGTTTGATCCCCAGTTGTCCTTCCCTAGGGGAGGGGGGATACTCACCTGTGTTTGGTTTTTCGTGATTAGATTCAGGTTGTGGAACTGATGGGCAAACTGTGTACCTAATATTTAGTATTTTTAGGCATCGTAATGGAGATGTGATGTCTGTGTGTGGCTTATTGAGTATATTGATTTTCATTATTTTAGGTTTCACCCACTTTCTCTAATTTGTTACATGTTTTCTAGTGACAGTCTTTGTGGGGAGATAGTTTGAAACCACAGGTAAACAGCTTGTTCCTTATGAAATATCCTCTTAGAATTAGCATTCATTCTATTGATTCTGTTGTGTTTTTGTTTTTTTTTTTTAAAGATGGACTGGAATTCCC